TACGTAGTAGTATATATATATATATATATATATATATATATATATATATATATATGTATGTCAAGAATGGTACATACATGTATCATCTTTTCTTTTTAAATCAGAAAAGATGAAGACAGTAAAATCTGACTGACAAATAAAAAAGAAGAAGATACATACCCTGATTTTCCTGTACAGAGCTCCCACGTTATCATCATCAAAAGGCAGGAAGCCACACATCAGGGCATACAGCAACACTCCCATACTCCAAACATCAGCCTACAGGGGGTACAACACTGTAGTGTACCACGGCTTCCAATCACGATCCAGCCACGGGTGGCTAGAGTCTGATTTGTTCGCTACTGGTAGGAGTTGCAGCCCTCTTGTAATGAGGTTGAGCTTGTTTGTTTTTGTTTGTTTGTTTTATTATGGTGTTACATAATTCATACTATCCTTCCTTGAGTCTACAACAATACAATTTAATGAATGTTACCCACACCAGTGTAGATATGCAGAAAAATGTCTTTCGATATATAAGTGTATGTGTATGTGTCTCTGCGTGTTTTTGTGTGTTCTTTTAAGAACCCACCACACTTATCAATAAGAATAGAAAGAAGACATTTGTGTGATGGCTCAAACGCAATGGTCTCTCACACAACTTGTGCACACAAGGTTTAAAACTTCATTGCATCCCAGAAAAGCAGTTATTTTTGCATGGTTAACAGGAGCGCCCCCTACCTCTGCCCCTAGGTACTCGTCCCCCTGGATGAGTTCGGGCGCGGCGTACGCAGGGCTGCCGCAGCACGTGCTCAGCTGGTGGTCCATCCCACCCTGGAAATCAAACAATAGTGTGAGTAAAACTTCATTACACACATGACTGAATGGGATATGGCTTGCCCAACATTCTGAGCATCTTACATTGTATTTGCTGAGAGAACAGCAGTTTGTTGAAGTATTATATCTTTGTCACAACAACCATGAGACAAAAGTATGACAACAATGACAAGCTTTAACTATAATACAATTTACTTTGAACATCTGACAGTAAATGTCATTCTCACCTTGGGTTTGGCACATAGACCGAAATCTATCAGTTTCAAGTTGTGGGTTTCATCAAGGAGAAGATTTTCCTGTAAAAAGAGGCAAGAAATGAGAAAACATCTAACCCATTACAAGTTAAGGCTCAACATCCATTTTTATCTGTTTTCCTTAATTTATGATACCAAGCCAGTATTCTTTTACTTGGTTGGGTGGGTACTTTGAGCCCTGTTGAAAGTTCAAAACAATTTTAGGTGTGAAAAACTGATTGATCAAAATTGTATATTTAAAAATACTGGTAAAATGCAAATTAGACATACCGGTTTGAGGTCCCTGTGTGCATACCCTTCAGTGTGGATATAGGCAACAGCCGACACGATCTGTCTGAAGAACACCCTGGCCTCCTCCTCTGGCAGTCTGTCTTTGGCAACAATGTAGTCAAACAGTTCTCCTCCAGGACAGTACTGGACAGGAAAATAAGAGAAATATCATAAATATCTTCTTTAACACTAACAGACTCAAAGGGACATCTTTGACACATTTGTGGTATTGAATGGCAGAGAGATCACAAGTTTGTTTTCTTGTATTTTTGGCTGGATGTTGCCCTGAGCTTTACATGATCTAATACTTGCAGATGACTGGTTAGTGGTTAGTAGTTACCCACCTCCAGTACCATGAAGATCTTGGTGTCTGTCTCTAACACCTGGTACAGTTTACACACATGCTGGTGTGTCAGGGTCTTCATGGCTTCTATCTCAATCTGCACACGGGGAAGGTCCGGCTAGAAATGGGGATGGAAAAAGATATGGAGTCAGAATACTAACACCAAGTAACAGCCAGTGGCGCAAAGTACACAATCACAAAACTTGAGACATAACTTTACAATATTTGTCGAAAAAAGTTGTTGCCAAACAGTACAACAGAAAGAGTAACCAACCCCCAGTGCTGCCTTATCCATGATCTTCACAGCCACTTTTTCTCCTGTCAAGATGTGATGTGCCAACTTCACCTTGGCAAAACCACCTAGAAAAAAGGGAAACGTTGTTAAAGTATTTGTACTTCCACTTCTACAAACAAAACATCAAGCATTCTTTTAAAAAGAAATAGTAAAAATTTGTTTCGTCAGACTGTGGTATGACGATTAGACAGAAGTGTCTGACCTGATCCGATGGTGTGCCTAAGTTGGTAGTACTCCTCTATAGGCCTGTAGGGTGTCGGCATCCTGACTGGGTTCAGGTCCTCAACTCAAGATACAACAAAGATCTGAAGAAGTGCAAAGTAGTAGTACAATACATTACTTGAACAATCGTGTTTGGGAATATGTTGACAGAGGTTAGAGTGAGTTAGGTTAAAAGATAACGGAGATTTAATCTATTGAGGATGTTTTGAGTGACATCTATCATTCTTCTTCAGTCAGTGTCACTATGAACTGACAGAACTAGTCCACACTTATCACGAACTGGAAAAAACAGTTGAATTTGAAACATCTGGAAGTAATCTCCATAATTTGTAGAAGTAGTCTGAACTTTGATTTGAACTGTCTTTGAATATTTTTTAGAGTAGAGTAGAGTAGAGTAGATCTTTCGTCTCGGTAGGAAGTTCTCTTCCACTTTGAGCCGCTCCTTGTAGTTTACTGCGTTGACATGGTCATCTTGTGGGGGTTGTCCAATGCCCGGGGGTTGTACACCACTGGATGACTTCTCATGTGTTTGTCCAGTCTATTTTTAAAACTGTTCACACTTGGGGCTGACACTACCTCTTCCGGTAGACTGTTCCACCATGTTACTACCCTGTTGCTGTAGAAAAACAGTCTTTTGTTGTTGTTCACTGATCTTTTGTTTAGTCGTAGGCTGTTCCCTCTTGTCCTTCTTTTTTCTTGCATTTTTGGTAGGCAACCCTCTGTGTCCAGCTTCCCATGAGTGTATTTGTAGGTCATGATCATGTCCCCACGTATTCTTCTGTATACCAGTGTCGGGAGCCTAAGCACCTTAAGTCTCTCCTCATATGGTAGATTGTTTAGACCAGGCACCCTTTAACGGAATAGTTAAATAGAAAGGGTACTGGTAAGCAGTTATCTCAGAAAAGTGGAGCAAATTTGAAAGTGTGCCAGCAAGTTTATCTTTACACAGTGATTACCTGTAATCTATTCTCATGCAAATTATATCCATCTTTTGTCTCAAGTAAAACAAACAGTTCAGAGTACACAAACTGAGCACTCAACAAAGGGTATAAACAGACATTAATAGGCTTTAAGAAAAAAACAAGTAAAAATGCAGTTAGTTTGAGCTCCAACTTGAGATCGCCATATGGATGAGATCTGTAAAATTTAAGATCTCGACATGATTTTTTAAATCTAGTATCCGTTGAGTATGTCACAACGGAAAGTTTAATATTTTTCACCAGACAAGGGGCCACATAAATTGATGACTGTGAGATCACAAATACCCTGGTCAAATGCATTGCTCGAAAATAAGAAGCAATTCAAGAAAAGGGATCACCCCCAAAATTATACTAAACCGTTGCATACGAAACCTTTTGAACCAACCACATAAATTTTCATTTTGCAAAATATCGACGACAGTGCCAACTAAGTCGTCATCACAACTTCAAAGCTATCATAAGTATCTTTTTGTTCGAACATGTGTATATAGCAATGTAGACATTCACATATTAGCAAGGAAAAGCGCATATTTTGGACGGAATTTTTTACTTGCCTGCAACAGTCCGGATCTCTATCTGGATACTGGTTTTCAAAATGGCCTCCGTCAAGGAGTGACGTCACGACTGACCAATCAGCAGCTAGACTCGTCCCCACGACACTCAGTAATGCTCTCGTTCTCAGGACATTGTGCGCTCACAAAGGCCCCTGGGATACTAGACTATACCATAACTTTACCTGTTGGGTGATTTAAAATCTTGTATATCCGTAAGTTCAAAGTTTACCTCAATTAAAAGACCTACAACTACGAAATATATATTAATATAGGTAATATTTGTAGAATGGTAATATGTTAAAGTATATAGAATGTTTGACAGCGTGTACTGTTATATACGTTTTATAGGTACACCCCTAAAGTTTAGTAAACGATTCCACGAGGATAGCAATGATGGCGTCGGACGTCGAGGTAGGAAATGTCCCGCGACTTTCTCATACTTTCCCTTTATTTAGCTGTAGTTTGAAACCTTTAGGACTTCTTATTAGCTCACACGGAGTCCAGAGAATACGGGGATATAGTTGATACCACTTTGCCTTTGAAGATTGTTATATTTTCTTTGGTAGATTGAAACGAAGTTCGGCAGAAAATACAGAAGATCTTGTCTGCTTCTGTCAGTCTGTTCCTGTCGTTTTGTCAGTCAAAATTATGTTGGACTTGGAGTGTCTTCCTAGTCTTGTACACAGAGATATGCTTACATTGTGTGAGTCAAGCCAGTATGTTCCACCTGTTTTATCGGCCAAACAATGCAAATAAACAGTAGTATGTTGTTATTGTTGTTCAGTGTCCTAAATACTAGTGTATTGCGTTAGAGTCACGTGGCCTCTAAAAGTTGCACTACGATGTTGTGTTTTTTCCATACTTTATGTATGTTGAGAGTCTCCTAGAACATGTTACTTTTTCTTCTGTATCACCACTAAAATCCATTGAACAATAGAGGAAAGACTGCTTACCTTTTGTTTGACAAAGATTATAATTTATCACTTTTTTTATTCAGCTGAGAATCAAACTAGAAGAAAGTTGAAGTCTTTTCATTTCATCCTGTGTGGATGATATTTGGCAGTTGTTTAATACCACTTTCTTTCTGATTTCAGGAAGAAGACTTGCAGTCCCTTCGGACAGCTGTGCTGGCTTCACTTAAAACTGTAAGTGAAACCAAGGCAATGTGTCAACCTCCTCCCTGCTACCTAACCCCATACCCATTGCAAATTTGGTATCAAACAGCTACCTTAGCATAGTTCTCATTAGGCTGTTTGAGCGTAGGGGCCCCCTACGCTGTGATTTTGACCCCCTACGCTGTGATTTAGCCCTCTACACTGTGTTTCAACCAGCGTAGGGGTGGTTTTTGGGGGCAGAAGCTTCATTAATCTTAAAAAAAATGAAAATATAACTTAAGAATGAAGCTATAACAGAGGGAAAACAAAATCTGTCCCCCAATAAACAATAAATACTTAAGTGGTTAATATGAGTTACAAAATTTTTGGGGGAGAATATCAGGCCCATGTTTTGGGGACTTGGTGCGTGACTCGCGCCGCAGAAAGTTGCCCTTCTATACCTGACCCCTACGCTGTGAAAAAATCCTGGTGAGAACCCTGCTAGACCTCGACAGTTTGATTTGCATCGTTTGGTTGTTCATCCCAAGGATGTGAACAATTGTGCTTTTTGTGTCCATTTGTCTGTCTGTGCGGTGTTGAGATTCTCAAAACACGGAATGCGGCACTGATCATTGTTGTTATTTTTGGGACTAGAAGAAGGGTTGCAAAGCAATAGTGCTAAAGGTTTAAATCTGCCATCTCTGACTGCCTTGCTTGTTTATGTCTTGTAGCAGAGTGAAGATTCCCCAGCAGTCACCGGTGAGGACAGTGATGATGATGACGAGGACTTGGAGGCCCTTCGTCTGGCAGCGCTCCAGTCTCTCAAGGCCAAGTCCAAACCTGGGGGTTCAGTACAAGCCAATGTCCCTCCAACTGGACCAACACAGGTAAAACAAAATCTGAAATTTCAGACTTCCAAAAAGTGTTTTGGTGAGGATCGTATGATGTAACACTCCTCACCATCTACGGCTTAATTGAGAGTGTGGAAACAAAACTTCATTTCCCAGAAGTAACTAGATATTGATTACTATCAGCAGTTGTTGATGTCAGCAGCAGTTGACGTCATAATAATCATTGTATGAATATTGCCAACCAGATGTTTGAGGGTACTAGTAAATTAAGTAGCAGCATATTGGCATGTTGAACAGACGTACACCGTAATCCAACATGGCGGATGTGAAAAACCTGTATAGCATTCTGACATTGAGACAGTTCGTGTCACTGTGCAACATAGCAAAGTTAGGTACATGTAGATTATCCAAATTTAGTTCCAACATTTCTATTTTCTTGATATTATGCTGCAGCCATTGTGATGTTCATATCAATCTTTTTAACTACTTACTTCACCCCAGGTTCCCCCACCAAGGCCTCACAATCAGGCAGGCTTCCCCAGTCACCGCAGGCATCCCAAGAGAAGCAATCTGATCGCTATCAACATCGTACGAGAAGAGTCAGAGAATGACCTTCCACTTCCCATGGGCGGGCTGCCTCCGAACAGGGGCGGGCGGGGACGTGTGCCAAAGATTGACAGGACAGTACTTCCTAACGAAGGAAAGCCATCAACGCCAACCAAGCGCAATGACAAGTTTAGCAGGTATGACAGCGATTCAGACTCGGATGAAGAAATTCTTGGAAGGTCAAGTTCAAGTAGCTCTGAAGAGGAAGAGGAGGAAGAAGAGCTGGAAGAAAGCAGTTCAGAAAAAGAGGAAGAGGAAAAAGAGGAAGCAGGAAACAGAGAAAGCAGTTCTGAATCAGAAAAAGAGGAAGAAAGAGAGGTTTCTGATGTAGAAAAAGATGAGAAAAGTTCTGATGAAGCAGAATGCAATAGAAAAAATGAAAAGGAAGAGGAAAACAAAGATTGTAAAGAAGTTGCAAAAGAAATTGATAATTCAAGTGACAATGTAGGTAAGGAAAAGTTACCAGACTTAGAAAAACAGGAGGAAGCCAAGAATGAATTAAGAACTGCAAGTCTTGCTCCTGTAGAATCTGAGAACTCTTCGAAGCATACAGAGCTTAAGCAGAATAATGGGGAGCCAGTTAATGGCAAGATTGCGGGCTGCCAGAATTCCCCACCCTCAGAACGTGAGACAAAAAAAATAGAAGCACAAGAAGACAGACCAGCATCTCGTGCATCATCCTCATCAGGTTCTAATTCAACCAGTAGAAGCCCATCTCCTTCAGAAAGAAGTCAGTCTTCTCCGGAAAGAAGTCCAAGTGCAAGGTCCAAGAGCTCAGTCTCATTCACAACTACTAGTTCTGATGGATCGTCGTCAAGGTCCACCTCTAAGTCTCGCTCTAGGTCAAGGTCACTGTCAAGGTCACCAAGTCCTGCCGGGCAGCGGAAGACAAGGTCACTTTCTAGGACGAGATACAGAAGAAGAACTTCATGTTCCAGATCTCGGTCCAGGAGTGTAGGAAGGAAAGTTTCACAGTCACCACACAAAGTAGCGAGGCGGAGATCCCAGTCGCCTGTTCGACTTCCCAGGAATAGATCTAAGTCACCCAAACTCTTAGATAGACCAGGATCTCCATTGAGGTCAAAGAGAGGTAGATCAGTCTCAAAATCTCGGGACTCTAAATCACTCTCTAGATCAAGAAAGAGACTGAGGAGTAGATCTCAATCCCCACCAAGAAAGGTAGCCAAGAGGTCAGGAAGATCTGACTCCAGGTCAAGAGATAGAGGAAGAGATGCACACAGGAGTAGACATCTGCCTTTGGCTTACAGAAGAGATGCACCTTCCCCTGAACGTAATGCTGACAGGACGTTACAAAAGCCCCAGGTCCGAGAATCCAAAAGGAGGTCAGAAAGAAGGGGTCTGCCTTCCAGACCTGGGGAGAGGCACAGTAGAAATAATTTGGAAAAGGGAGAAAAATCACACAAAGTCATACCAGACAGAACTGAGGGTAAGACGTCTCCCTTTAAAGATACAGAAAAACCAACAGATGAGAAGCTAGAGGCAAGGAGGAGGAAATTTGGGGGCAAGGAGGCAAAACTGGAGAAAAAGACAGTCTCTCTCCAGGGCATAGTGGAGAAGACAGATGGTCTTGATTCATTGAACATCAAAAATTTACCAGTGGAGAAAGATAAGAGGAAAGAAAGTAAAGAGAAACCCAAGAAGGAGACAAGGAGAATTTCAGTGAGGTCAGAGAGTGCTGGGTCCAGTTCGTCTTCTATGCTGAGTGACAGTGAAAGTGAGTCTGAAACTGAAGAGTCCAGGTTCAGACAGACTAAGAAAGATGTTGGAGAGGACAGTAAAGAAGGCCGTGGGTTGGGCCTGCTAAGGACGACTCAGGGACGCACAAATATTCCAGATAGCCTTGATCCCTGGGACAGGAAGAGACAAGACAGGGACCGGAATGGACCGGATAGGTCTGGTTTCCCTCGTGATCGGCACCAGCGATCACGTGATAGACACAGAGACAGGCACAACACACGCAGACACTCTCCAAACAATTCTCAGGAAGTACAGCACAGAAGTCGAGACAGAAACAGAACAGAAAAGAAGAAAGTAGCCACACCTGAGAAGGCTGACAGGGTCCCTCACTCCCCACCTAAAAAAATAAGAACACTAAAACCAGAAAAGGAGTCTAATAAGTCTGGTTCTTCATTGGAGGGTAATGCAGAGCAGCCCAAGATAAAATCTTTGCTTTCCCTTAAAATTTCTCCTCCCAAGTCTCTCTTACCGAAACGTAGCGTCTCTCCAGAACCTGTGCAGGACAAGCGAGAGATAGTCGAAGACACATTGAGGAAAAGCCCTGTGGTGAAGGCAGTGAAGAGAAAGGTACAGGTGAAGAGAATTGTTCTGTCCGACCCTCCAGGAGCTGACACCATGGACGGGTCAGACCTGAGGGTCAGGATTATGCAGAGAAAGACAGTAGACAGCAGTGGTGGGGAGGAGGGGAAGAAAAAGAAGAAACGAGAACGGGGTGTGAAGAGAAAGATATCTATCTCTACTGATGAAGGTAAGGGCAGTTACTTCCTTGGTGTAGAGTCTTTTCCACAACCATACATGGTGCATGTGGCAGCAGTGCAGCACTCATCGTTTCCACAATCTTTGGGCTGCACAGTTGTGCAATCACTACAGCAGGGGGCTAGTCCATTGATAGTGATGTGTGTTTAATTCCCATAGTTGTACATAGCAAATGCTAAGCACAGAAATCACCAGAGAATAGACCAATATGACAGTGAAACATTGAGGAACAGAAAGCAAAGGGTGGACAAAACTTGTCAGCAGATTATCTGTGGTGCCTCAACAGTCAAATAACTAGACTAAGTGCTGGATAGATGAAATAGAAAGAAATCTAACCTAATGTATTCTGTTATCCCCTAGTGATAAATCCCACTCCAGACGCACCAGAAGAAGTTCCTGTCAAACGGAAGTCCATCCATGAGCGGCTAGGCCTGCAGTCCAAGGTACAGAGACAGGCCCCCCAACCAGCCATATCCAGGCAGCAGATCCAAATCAAGATCAAACAGGACATCCAAAGAGACCTGGATGCTCCAGCAACTGCCAGGAAACAGGTATTAAGCTATTAAGCTTTCTCTTTGAGTTTGTAATAAAAAGGTGACAAAAGTCAGTACCATACACAGTAAATAGGTGTCCTGCAGCTGCAGTACCACACACAGTCAGTAGTTGGTGGAATGTGGCAACTGACATGTGGTTCTCTTTCACCCCTACAGTCTCCTGCTCCATCTTCGTCCAAGAAACCAGGACTGCAGCTGGAAGTCCGACCAGATGAAAGCGAACTGGACGCCCGCATCCGCCTTATCCAGCAAAAGAACGCTGCCATCCTCCAACGTAAAAAAGAGATTGAGATGGACAAGAAAAAATATGGGAACTGATAAACCACAAACACTTCCTTAGGTATCTAAAATGTTAGTTTAGAATAAGTAGGTAGCTACATACAAAGCTTTGGTTAGTATTGCGTTTCATGAGAGAGAACCTGGTGCTTTTCAGAGAAGCACAGATTACAACACATTGTTAATTAGTCATCACAGTATAGTGCTTTTCTATTTTCGTTCATCTATTCAAGTTTGTTCATTGTTACATACATCCAGAGACAAACGCAAAGAAATATCCTATGTTACCATGCCATGCATGGCAAGGAAAGTTTATGTTGTGTTGAACAAGAAAATTCTATACAGATGTATATAAGGTACAAATGTCTGGTTCTAAAATTATTACCTTCTCCAAAAGGGCTGATACTACACAGTCTAACTATGGTAGGACAGTGTTCATGCACATACAGTAGGTACATTTCAATAGGTAGTTGCCATGTTTCTTGTGTTTTTGGAAGAAACTTTAATTGAAAATAATGTTACATACTCGACTGTACAAATTTCTGTTGTCAAGAGCCTCTGAGGGGAGATTTTTTGACACAGATCCTAAACTGTTTTTGAGGGTGGCATTTTTGTTCCATTACCTGACCAGAGGACCAACTCTGCTCTCAACTGACTCAAGCTTAAAGCTTTGTTAGACATTGAGTTTCACCTATTTAGCTAATTCAATGAAGATGGAATGAAAGTTTTGAAACCTAACAACAGATTTATTTCAGTTGTCACAGCAGCACATATGATACACCAAGTGAAACAATTTGTACCCTGAGGCTTTACTAGTATAGTAGTGTTAAGGTGAAAGAAATGTCATTGTTCTGAAGTTATTGATAACATATCAGTAGACAAACCAAAATAGGAAGTTTTGTATTTGTACCGAAACTGAACACTCTCCAGCTTTACAACTGTCTTTCCTGAAACATTGATACACTGCCCTCTCTGTAACACTGCTAGATAAGATAGACTAATGATTTAGTTTGTACATATGTAGATTTTTGTATCGTAAAAAATATACGAGTTCAATGTATTATTCCTGAACTTGAGTTATTCTGTGCTTTACTGGTATGATTCTTGGGGAAGTGCATGATAGAACTGACATCACATTAGCATTCAGAAGGGTTGAAAAGAAAATTATTCCTCCAGCAGGGAATTCACAATCTCAAACATTAATCAGAAAACTATCCTAAAATCCATTCTTGTACAGGCTATGTATATTCTAATGGTATCCACTGTTGTCACAATTCAGTCTTGCTGGTGGTTTTCTTGCACTTCTCTGTGTCTGCTACTGCAGCAGTGAAAGCCTCCCAGACCCCCGGAACCTTCAGGCACAGGGTTCCACCTCCTCGATTCTTCTCCCGCTCCTGGACATGGAAAAAAGTTTTCTAACAGTCTGAAGAAATGATAACTGTCCGTGGTACTGAGCTAGTACCGTCTCACACTGTCCCTTTTGTTAAACCACCATCACACACTGTCGCTGTACTGAACTACCATTACTCACTGTCCTTGGTACTGAACTACCATCACACACTGTCCCTGGTGCTGAACTACCATCACACACTGTCCCTGGTGCTGAACTACCATCACACACTGTCCCTGGTACTAAACTACCATCACACACTGTCCCTGGTGCTGAACTACCATGACACACTGTCTCTGGTACTAGACCACCATCACACACTGTCCTTGGTGCTGACCTATCATCACACACTGTCCTTGGTGCTGACCTATCATCACACACTGTCCTTGGTGCTGACCTATCATCACACACTCTCCTTGGTGCTGAACTACCATTACACACTCCTCATATTTACCATACAGTGTTCCTTAGAATACTAATGTTTTGAAGAAAAAAAATTGAGACAAGGTAAAGTAGGGTACCTGTCTGTCCATGTCGCCGACACAGGTCCACTTACTCTTGCCCCCTGTAGTGACTGCCCACTTGGACTTGTCCTTGCTGGATGCAAACTCCACATCATAGGGCAGCTTAACTTTCTTCACATTCTTCACCTACAACAAGATTTTAGTATGCAAACTGTTTTATACTGTGATATACAGAGTAGTCTTTGACCACACTCAAAAACTCACAGGTAAACCACATTGTCATTTGACCATGTTCTTGCGATAACTTCCAAACATGTCCAATAATTTGTTTCCATAGTTGTGACATATAGTTCACTTCTGTTGTCACCATTATATACTGCAGTGTACACCCTCAACCAAAAATAAAACTACCTTAGGTTTCCAGCAGCTGTTGGGTATGCTGTCCTTTGCTGTCCTCCAGGACTGTACTGTCAGGTCAGAGTCCAAATGTTTTGCCACAAATGACTTGTACATCTCTGGAATATACAGAAATATGCACACATGAAATGTCACTGTGCATGTAGTTGTTGCCTATAGTATCATGTAGTGGCATCAAATGGCCTACTGGCTATTCTTGCATTTCTAGCTGGATGTTGCTTTGAGCTTTACATGACTTTCCTCACTCCACCCAGGTATAAAATGGGTACCTGACTTTGGTTGGTGAGGTAGAAGGCAGTGGAAGGAGAGAGATGGGCTCCAACTTCCAATACCATGCCCTAGACACAGTGAATCATCATTACACTGCCCCTACAGCCTCAAAAAGACTACAGTACTACAGTACAAGACTACAGTACACTACATTATCTACCTTTACTGTTATAGAATTATGTTTATAACCTCTTACTCTTCTTCACAAAGTGATCACAAAGCACAGTTCTGTTACCACACCTTCTGTGTAGTTGCCAGACTTGGTGAAACTGAGGACATCCACCCTCCTCTGGACACCAGAGGCGCCTTCTTGTTCCATGGTGGCACAGCAGGCCCACCCCATCCATGGCAGGGGAGAAGTAAGGGTTATCCTCCTGTAGGGTTGCTGGGAGGCTCGCGTCGTAGATGGCAGGCTCCATGTACATGAGAAGCTTTCCTACAAAACCACAACAAGAAGGAAATATTTCACATGCTAGCCTGCTATCCAATCAATTTAGCTCTCTGCAAATAGGATGGAAGTAACATGCCTACATCAAGTAAAAGTTATTAATTGCTATCATACGTAACAGCACGTTGCCATACTTGGCTCAGGAAATGATAACCTTTTTTCTGTTAACCTTCTCCCAGCTGCCTAAACCCGTAACCAATACAAAGTTGAAGCCAAATGACTACCTTAGAAGATAGCTGAACGTTAAAGCAACTGTTAAAACAAACATCAAGTGCCATTTACAAACCTACCAACAACATCATTCATAAACTCACCTGAGCTGCATATATTTCTTGTGCAAACTTTACTCACCGATCATTCTGAAGGTGATGTGCTCAAATGTGACACACATGAAGATGTGTGCATACTTGGTGGAGAAGTCTCCCACAGGCCAGGTGTATGACTCCTCCAGCCAGTTCGGGAACCTGGGCAGACTGTGCACCAACCAGAACCCTCCATCCTT